TAAACAGTCTCGACGCCGATACCGAGACCAGTCTCGGTATCGTCCGAAGCACTACATTCACGAGTGCTGCAATTAATTGTTTAACGTTCATTTATAACTTTTTTTTGATAGTGAATGAAGGAAAATTAGGGATGGACAAACGTAAATGCGTGGTGGACAATCGAATCCCGTATGTAATTTGAAAGAAAGTTCACATGGAGGTGCTGCAAATTTTTACTTGTTTATAATTTTTTTTTTCAATGGTGGACAAACAATTTTTTTGGGGGACAAATGTAGACAAATGGTGGACAATCGAATGCGATGTTAATTTTGTCAAAATTCGCATTTATGCCAGCTTCACAGAGATGGGGTAAGGGGGGTGAAAGTTGCTTCATGTTGAAAGTCAAAACCTATGTAGAATAGTGTTTAATATTGCATATATAGCAGCAATAGTACGTTATTTTGCAAACTTCTTTTGTTAATAACTTTTTAACGAAGGACGAGCGATGGCTAAAACTTGTTGGAGGTTACTCAGAGTCATGACCTTGACAACATACTCGTATATCAAGATCCAGGTCAACGGAACTGCCTCCCCTATTCTGAATAATCACCTAACAATATTATAAAAATCAAATTCCTTTATCCGGAATTAAAATTGTGTCTCGACATAATTTTAATTCATTAATAAGAATCGTAATTCCTTTTAGACAATTCTTTTTTACGAATTTTACATTAGAAAATGTATCTTTTATGCCATTGTAGCGACAAATACCGCCACGACAAATGATGAAAGATGCGTGGCATTACTGACATTTAGGGTGCCATCCCATGGCACAGATTTTCCGCATAACGCGTTTTTCGAGTTGTTACGCCTTTACTACGCGCTTTTTGTAAAATTTTCATATGCGGACACGAGACTACACGAGACCATAATAATATGACAGAGAAGAAGATTTTGTCTTCATCATGGATAAATCAGTAAGCAAATTATAATAATTAGTTTTATTTAATATATTTCATTATCAAGTCGGTTTAAATGCAATATTAAAATTTAATTTATGATCTTAATAATAAAATATTCATAAATTAATTTATTAAAAATTATTTTTCCAAGTTATAAGGTTATATTATGTTAAGTGATAGATTAATGTATAATAATGAGTATTTTCCAGCAAGGACACAGTCAGACATTGTGTAACACAGTGAATCGTTTCATCCTTGTTGTTTAACGTAGGCAAACAAGGCTGTAATGATTCACTGTGTTACACTGTGTCTGACTGTGTCCTTGCTGAAAAGCACCCAGTGGTAGTAACTTTTAAAGTATAAATTATTTTCTTTAGGTTTTAAATTTTTTCTAAATATTTTAAATAAAACAATGTTACTGTAAAGAGGAATATTATATTGCTTATTATATTAATTTTAAATAATTTATTAATATTTCCAGCAAATTCGGTGTGGATATTGTGATACTGGTATCAGGCTGCTCTTCGCCCTGATGAAGTGGACTGCAAAGTTCACGAAACGTTGGCATTCCAAGAATAGACCCGGACACGGAGAAAACTCGCGAAACGCATAACTCTTATACAGAAAGCACCCTTGGAAGCCTCAAGAAGATTGTCACATATTATAAATATATTTATATACCAATAGTAGCTACAAAATTCTCATCAATATGTAGAAAATGTATAGTTTCATTGTAGTCTTTAAAACAATAATGTTCTAATATATTTTCACAATAATATGCCATTAGCCATCCACAATATCCACACCGAATTTACAGGAAATATTAATAAATTATTTAAAATTAATATAATAAGCAATATAATATTCCTCTTTACAGTAACATTGTTTTATTTAAAATATTTAGAAAAAATTTAAAACCTAAAGAAAATAATTTCCAAGAATGGACCTGGACACGGAGAAAACCCGCGAAAAGCATAACCCTTATTTATAATATTATGTATTATATGTACGTTATATAAAACGTTATTATCAAACTTTCTATTACAGCACAAAAATCAATTGATTGTAATATTGAAGATACAAAACCATTGTCGCAATCCCAAAGTGTTAATCCAGAGTTTGATGAATGCCTCATAATGGCAGTCATGGATAGATCTTCATTATATGATCTATTAAATATGTTTAGAAAAATTATTCTCTAGTAGATGGTATTTAAATTATATGGTTATGATTTATAATTACAAGATTTAATGTTAAACAGGTAATATGAGCATCAATGATTTGCAAAAACGATGGAAATATCATCGTGACTGTTATATTAGAACTAGGAAAAAAATGAAAGAATATGTGCCAAGTGGTTCCGGTGCATCTTCTACAAACTTTAAAAGTACTTACAGATTTTTTGAGTTAATGAGACCATTAGATGATACGCTTCAAAGTAAATCGTATGTAATATTGCAATAAGCATTAAATTTTACATATTATAGAACTAGTAATGTATACAATTAATTATTAAAAGATTCACGAAATTGAAAATTAAAATATTACAAATTAAAAAGGTAGAGTACAGTGTGTGTATAGGCTGTGTTCCAAAATTGATTGTACTGAAAAGCTATAGTGCACGTAACATAAACTATAGTATTTTCAATGCTGGCAGTAAATTTGGAACACAGCCAGTATATCTTAAAATATTATTTGACAGAACAATAAGTACATTATCGAACGAAATTGAAATATCTTCAAATGAAAATACAGTCACCAGTGAATCTATATCTATGCAACTAACAAGGGAACACAACCAAGTGAACCACTCCGATTTAAATGAGCTTTTAGTATGTTGTTTTATAGAAAAAAATAAGAGACACGTATTTTTTTATACGTGCGGAGTCGCATGTTAAGGGGGTGAAATCCTCTCTTGAAAAAAATCGGTTTTTTCTTTCAAAGCGAATATCTTCGAAACTATAAGAGATAGACAAAAATTTTTACAATCAAAATTGAATGGTTGTAAAGGTATAACTATAACTATAATAAAAACTTTATAACTATAATAAAAAAAATTTTTTTTAACTATTTATTTATTGTATACCCCTACTCTTATTTTCAAAAATATTCGAATTTTTTATATGACGAAAATTAAAGAGAATTTTACGTTGAAAACAACTGTGTACTTAAATCACGTTCCGATAAACCATTTTTCAGATATGAACGAAAACGTCCCTTTTTACG